AATGCGAAACCAGTCGACCTCTTTACACGAATGGTCGACCGTATTTTATTAAGGCTACACAGACAAGATTCCATCCTTATTCCACATGGTTTTTGACTTTGCTACGGTATCATAGGTCGATCTTAGGGGTCACGAGGTCGACATGTGCTCTGCCTACGGGTTTGCCCGCTTTGAGTATGTGGTCGACCACTTGTTCTAGACGATTGAAATCGTAAATTCATTCACATCCATAATTGTATAACAAATCTAATAAACGATAAACATTCAAAATCCAAAATGAAACAATTTCGCAAATACAAATTCAACGTATTGTCTAAATAATGCAACATTGTAACTTAATGACTTCATTTCTTTGCTTTTTTGTTTGAACTCTGTCTCTCTTTGCCTCGTTCCATGCATTCATCTACTACATGCTTGAAAAGATTTTCTCGTGCACGGTTTTCAAAATGTGTAGCCAGATACCATAGAATCTTTTTTCGAGCCGGTAATTTGTGTTCTTCTCCTATCTGCATTATGGCATGTAAGACTTCATTACAGCTAAAAAAAGTATAAATTAAACAAGTTATTTGTTTGATGATATACTCACCACTCTATCCAGATCCTTGGATGCATATCGCATCCACTGCATGACGTGCACACCACACTCGGTACTATTCCTTTGCCCTTGAACCCGTAGCTCTTCAAATTTGAAATCTCCAAAATTTGGTAATGCTACATTGCTCATGCGCTCCGATTTGAAAATATCATTCAAATTGGACAACTACACACAAATAACGAATATTTTAAGCTTCTAGCATAATACGCGACGCTTAGTAGTCAGAAAATTATAGGAAACACTTACCAATTTCTTGCATAGTGCTGATTTACGCCTACGATTCGCCTCACTAGTTGAAGGTCGACTGTCAAGCAAAAATGCAGTTTTTTGCTGGACATTGACGAGATACAGAAACCAATGACGTGCTTCATCGTCAAGAACTGGCATAAATATCTAGCAACGAAACACTCACTATATGTTATAAAAAGAGAATACAAACAAATGCACTTTCGAAATTTATGATATAGGGACATTGACTAACCTTCTGGCATTCACTAACATTCGGCATATACACCACGCCATCATTCATCAACTTGTTACGAATTTGTCTGGTCTTCATGTTAGCGCGTACCATTTTCTGCACTATGTTTTAATTGAGATGAATTGACATGGTACAATATAAATAACTAGGTTATGACAAATAATTTGACATTACGGCTCTTACCGAAAACATATTTGGCAAATAACACACATTTGGCTCTTTCACATCATGTTTTTCAGACATTGTTAGTGCCCTTGCACACAAATCCACTACCTACCATCCAACAATCAAACACAAAATCCTCGTAAATCGTAACATAAATAGTGCACAATTCATATGAAAGTCGTAGTAGTATAGTACTTACTGATGAGCAAACCCAGCTATTCTCGTTAATGACCGAACTCAAATAATTTCGTTGCACGTTTTCAGAAAAAAAAGTCAACAACAGTCAAACTGCAAAAATCAAAATAACAGAAATGTCAATTGTGATTTACAACGTACAGGTCGACCTGTTCACAGTCAAGGTCGACCTTATTGGATAAACGGTTGAACTCATGACCTAAACGGTCGACCACACGTACTAAAAAACGTCTTACTTGTCCCAATTCGTGTCCACGTCCTTCTCTTTAGTAACAACATAATACAAGTCTTCAACTGGATTTTGAAGATTTTTGGTGAATCCTTCTAGACCCTCCACTTTCATGACCTACAAATCATAGTTAAAATTAAAGTAAGATATGAACACAAACACACATTATAGATGAATATGTAACGTAAACTTACCCCGTGCTTTTCGAAAGGACTCTTAAATTCATCTTCATCGCTATCAGCACTAAATAATCCTTTTCTTACAAAATGATCCTTCTGTGGAGTGGTGTATGAGTCACTTTCATATCGAGGTCTCTTGCACTTAGGAGAGGAACCCTTGCTGCCATTCGTTCTTTCACTCTGTCAAACATATAAACAAAACAAATTAGCACTAATGATAGTAATACTAATATCTTCAATCACATATGAATATACTTTGATACCTTTAAATTGTGCTCTTTCAATAAATCGTCTATGTTCTGGTAGCAATTTTCAGAGTCATCATGGTCTTCCTCCTCTTTACTAAAGTCAAATTTCTTTCCTCTACCATCTCTTCCATCATTCTCCATTCGTTCTGCACTTATATCTTTGATAGCACCTTCTAGCCTCTCAAACCCGTATCCATCATCCCAGTCATATCTGCCAGTCGAACTGACAATTGCTCCACTCTATCACACATGGACTTCTGAAAGTCATTGACTTGTGTTTGACACACCACCAGCTTCTCTTGTGTGGCTTTCAACAATTTCATGATTTCACCCAAATCTTGATGCAGTCTCTCATCATGCGTCATCGTCTAAACAATTTAAAGAAAAATTAAAATCATAATTCAACTTCAAATTTCTACAATTGACCAAAAAACAAAGACGTGGTCAACCTGACAAATTATTAGGTCGACCTGGAAGACAAATAGTGACTACCAAAACCATTAAGGTTGACCTAGGAAGAACAGAGGTCGACCTATCCAGCAGGAAAATAACAATTAACAACAAAAAGTAAGTTCAATATTAAACCGAAAAAAGGATAGGTCGACCAGATATCTGGCGAGGTCGACCTTTTGAAGCACAACATAGTCATACAAACAAAGCCAAAGTCGACATTCAGGTTGAATAACCAAAACAAACAGAAACGGACGACCTTGAAACACATTAGGTCGACCAATTGGTTGATCTTCGTTACCTCGCAAGTACGAAAGTCCAAGTGTTGTGCCCTAAATTCAAAACCGAAGAATTGTCTCGTCAGGTCGACCTGGTTGATGTCAAGGTCGACCGAATGGTATTCTGCACGCAACAATATATCAAATTAGACGGTGGAAATCACGAATTAGAAAAGATGACGGCGAATGCTACATTAGGTCGACCTCATCTTCGACGTGGTGGACCACTTCCAACACATACAACAACAACCGCGAACGATCTTCTTCACAAAGGCTCTAAATAAAAAAAAAAACCTAATTCAGACTTGGCGGCGTTGAAGGGGACTTATATTCGTATTTATAGAGATTTAGGACGTGAATGGGTCGACCCAATTCGTTTCCTTGTCCAATTGTGGAAACTCTCTGGTGTTGGAATCCGTATCCAATACGGATACAGTGTGAAGGCAGTTGACCACTTTATAATGTGGTCGACCTGTTAGGTGCACAAGGGTTGGCCTATGAGGTATTTGGGTCGACCTTTCATTCTGTTAGATCACCAAAGAGGTCGACCATATTATGTAAGAGGTCGATCGCGTCTCGGAACCTCACATACATGAATTAGTCAATTCGATCGACCGCCTTTTGGATTAGGTCGACCGAAAAATCCATATCACTGTGACATGCATGTCACCGTAGCAAAATCCAAAATATTTTTATTCTCAGATTCAATCTAACTTTCAATCAATATGATTATCTTTTATTAAAAAAAATTGAAGAATTCGTATAAGTCTTATGCTAGTAAGCTAGGGTTATCTTGGCCCATATTTTACCAGTCTTCTTTTCCCTGTAATTTACACGAGGTTTTTGCCCGCGCTCTGGGGCGGGATATGTGAGATTGTTAAATTAAATTTTAGGTAAAAATTTAGCTCTTGCATTTGATTACCATTTGAACACAATGTCAGAATGCTATTAAAACTGAATCAAGTTGTATTCTGATCTGGTCAATATACAATGTTCAATATATATTTTAATTCTCATCCTCACATGACAACAATAGGTTTCGTTCATGCAATCGGTATCAACTGGTCTCAGCGTGTGAAACTGTTAGACGAATAATTTATTTTAAATATTAACAATATGAAGAACAAAGTCATTTTAATTTCAGAAATATTAGAGAACTGACGTTGGTTTTTTCCGAATCGAACTTCAAACTTTTATTTCAAATAACAATCAAAATTTCTATTTGTATAAGAATGAAAATGACGATTTACATTTGGGTCCATAGAACCTTCAATCCATCATGAGCACGTACCAACATTCCAACAAATGAATCATGTACTTAAAAATAAAAAATCTGAAAGACCTTAAAACATATCAAGATACAGCTTAACAACTAATTACAGGTAATATGGCTAGCACTAATACAAAAACATGGTAGGAATAATCTACAGAAAAGGTACCACTAAAATGACAAAGAGATGAATTCCAAGAAATGCAGGGAAGAAGGTAGTTGCTGCTCCTGGTTAGCTAGACATGGTTGACTGTAGAGTCACCAAGAAGAGCATGATCCCCATTCAACTCGTCATCACAATATACCACCTGATTGTCCAAATGAAATGCTCTCAAACCAACCAAAGCAATAAAATGTGGCCCCGAGAGTTGAAACATCTATCAGACACATACAAACTTCACAGAAGAAAGTTCCTTTACCAACAACCTAGACATGAGATATCAACTATTACCTGCTCACAAAGGAACAATAAACCAAGCATAAGCAAATCAATGTAGATTTTAATAGATTTTAAAATAAAACCAGATAGAGGAGATCATGGTAATAAGGTCTCCAAACATTATAGCCAGATTAAGAATACAACGGCAGTAGCAAGGCAATCAATGACCATAACAAAAGGAGAAACCACCCACCTAGACTGCAACAAAAACCATGCTTCAGACGCAAAATGGACCAACGCCAATGAAAAGAAGATTCCTGCGAAAAACCCAGCAAGAAGATTCCTCTGCCATGAATGGTGAACTCGACCCACCGAAATAGGAAAACAGAACCGCATGGGAGAAAGAACTGACATTAGAAAGAAAGCAAGGAAATATTGGAAAAACGATTCACCAGAGAAAGACAATCACATCAAATATGGGGATCTCCCTCATATCCCAAGAATCTACATATCTCTCGAATCCTTCCGTTGCATAGATGAAAAATGATCGAAAAAATTAGAGAGAGAGAGAGAGAGAGAGCCGAATCAGCTTTTCAGCATCCCACAGTGAAGGTTAGGCAGAACCCACCGCCTTCTTGCCTCGACGTCGACAATGTTTCAGGGTAAGTAGGGTAGCGGTGGTTGAGATCGTCGATCAACTCTAATCTCTTCAATTACTTTGCCGATTCCGGTGCTCGCGGCTACCCATCTGAGAGTGACAAAGGGAGAAAGAAAAGAATTGATTAGGATTTAGGGCCTTCTGCGGAAAAATCCAATTGAGGAGAGAAGTGGCAAGATATTTCGACGATCGATGACCGAAAGCTTTAACACCAAACGCTTTGCCGATATTTCCTCTGGATAAGATTAAAAAACATGTCAAACGGAGAAAGATAGATAAGGAACCATCTACGAAAAGAGAGATTGGCAAGCTAAACTAAATCGAACCTAGGAATCACTTTGATATCTTTCTAACTCAATCATCTCTTGGTCCTGCTGCTATTCGCTGATATTCCGACGACCAAAAAAAGATATCCCTGACAACAAAAGAGATCGATGCCAGAGAAGAAAAGGTATAAATCAGGAACTGAAGTTAAGAGAGAGTACAAAACCAGAACGGGAGATAGAGAGAGCAGAAATAAGAAGAAACGTTGAAGGCCAAAATCTCACCTTATAACGATGGGATCTGCAAATTTGGTTCGCCTCCTTGAAGAATCTAGTCGCCATCCGCTGCGGTCCTCTCCAACGTGGATCTACACCCTAATCCGCAGAAGGAAAAAAAGAAGTTAACATACACAAAAATTATTATTGTTATTATACGATTAAGAGGCCAGTAATATCACCATCGCCCAACAAAACCCCAAAACAAAGAGAAAGGCATCTGGAATATTTTTTTCAGAATTAGAAAGAATCTGGAATCTACCCACAAAAGAAACTGAGAAACAAAGAGATATAGAAACAGAGAATTACGGCGAAAGAATCATGGATCCACACATCACAATCCCTTGATCCCGTCGAGGGAAGAACGCCCATCGTCGGTGAAGGCATCACAAAAAAAAAAAATGAGTCGATCTGGCATGAGCTTGAAAGAGGAAAACAGGTTGAGAGAGGAATCGATACGCTTTGAGATTGAGAACATGGAGGAGAGAGAACAGACAAAGAAAATGTGACCTCTTACAAAGCAGAATTCTTCTGCCAAGCTCGCCTCTCTCCTTGGCTAATTGAGTGGCACCGTAATGTGATGATTGAAATAGCAATCGATCAACGCGCCCGTCAGGCAAGCTGTGCGGTAGGATAAAATTCAAAAATCTAAAAATGAAAAATTAGTCAGCTCAGGTAGCAGAGGCGAAATCCCTACTCTCAAAGCCTCTCTCTGGGAAACAAAACCCAGGTCACACCAAATCTCTCTCCCCAAGCAACCACTCGAGATTGGAAAGAGCAATTGAAAAGGACAATTCAAAGTCATCCCAGTCACCTCCAGTACCTCGAGCCTCAAACCCGGCAAAAGTCCCACCTTCTCAACGGAGGTCGCTCACATGGGCCCTGAGCATATACATATCTCCACCCAAAAAAACTGAATAATCCTCGATCCATGCACCCATATGAGCTTCGGGTAAAGAAAGGTCATGTGTGACCAACGCGATCGAGACCCCCACCAACCAATCATAGACAAACCAGAGGTACCACCAGTTCCATCCCAACTGACCCCGCCAAACTCCATCCGATTCCAAATAGGAAACATCCAACGTCCGCCCACACGCCAACCCACGCCAAGATAGAACAGTACAACTCAGTCACGTTGTACAGCGAAAGTAGTCTGTGTGTACAGTGCACGTGCATGTAGTGGGTTGTTTGCTTTCAATATCTTCTTTCGTTGATTAATCAAATGTCAAATGAAATTTAATCTAATATGATTTGAGCCCTTGCTGCCCATTAAGAGGCGACCATTAGTTGTTTTTGGAATCAATTTGGAGGCTAAACCGAAAAAGTTAGTGTTTTAGGGTTTAGTGTTTAACCGTTACAAAATTGGTGGTTAACCATTGATAGAACCGTTCATTATATGTAACATATAAGACATGTATATTAAACTAATTTTAGAATCAAGTTATCATTAATCATAAACGATTTCAAATTTGTATAATCACCAAAATATCTAATAAATCATTCAAACCGTCTCACAAATGAAATCATAATTTTTTAATTCAAATTAAAAATTACGATGCTAATCGATAGTGGACTAGGTAAAGTCGACAACAAGGTTGGAAAATAAGAAGAGTATCAGTTATGTTAAAGAATTTTTTTAAAAATATTTGTGTTTAAAATAATGAACTAGTGGACCAGTTAAACCGTTGTGGTCCATCTAGTTTTATGTTGAACCCTAAAAAATTATTTAGTCCATCAATAACCGTCCAAATAATAAATTGGACTACTATCGAAACTTATTTGACTGTTCTACTGGCCCAACCGTTGATCCGGTTCGGTTCTTAGCTATTAACCCTATATATTCTATTCATTTTAGGTTTTTTGTACTCACTATTTCTGCCGCCATTCTTCACGAGCCGTCGAAAGAAAACGAATCGTCCAGAAAAAGCTACATGCAACACTAAACCCTACTCGCCGTCGTCACCGCTGCCGAGCCGGTTTCTTCCCCCCCTTTGCGTTATCGGCGATGGCTGAACTGGCGATTCCGGCCCCCGGGCGTGGCTGCGCTCCAGCTTCCTTCAAGACCGTCTTCATCGACACCAACCTCGACACTCGCTTGGCCGTGGTGATCTCTTCCTCCGTCACCGTCGCCGATCTTAAGAGTAATCCCTCGTTCACTCGCTCGTCCTTTTTCCACATAACCCCCAATGTCCATTGCAAAGATATGAACTCTGTGAACTTTAACTGTTTTTGTGACGGTCCGTCTGCGGTAATTGCAGAAAAGATCATGGATGAGCATCCGCTGTGTTTCCCTAAGCTTGGAGAAATAAAAGTCGATGGATTGAAGGTATGGTTTTTCTTTCTCTATACTATTTTCCGCTTATTCTCTGATTGATTGCCTGTGAAATGACCTCTCCCGTTTGTGGGAATGGAATTGGGCAGGTTGAAAGGAGGGTTTTACTATCACTTGGCAGAGTCAATGCTTGTGACAAATGCCTTTGATGGGCTTAAGGAAGATTGGTTTGTTAGTATTGAAGCTTCTACGGTATCCAGGGATAAGGAGGTTGAGCCTGAAAATGCTAACTTAGCCTTGATGAGAATGAACAATGGTTTGGAGGAGGAAGGTGTTAATGTTGTACTAGATAGGCATCACAATGTTATGTCCGAAAGGGATTTGTTGGTTTCTCAGAAGGAGGGCAATGACCTTGTCGAAGTTGCTCGGGGAGCTCAACTTGTTGTTGGTGATGATTGTGGTGATCAAGTTTTGTCAATGGTGCCATTGGTTAGTGATGAATTTGTTAGAGAACAGAAATGTGATGAAGAAAAGACTCAGGATATGGATGTTGAAAATACAGCAACTGGGAAAGATTTGAGTAAGATTGACGCAAGCAGTGTATTGCCAGAAGGAGCTTCTGATATGAAGGAAAAACGCAAGAAGAAAAAGAGAAATAAAAAGCGTGTAGATGATCGTTCTGGTAAAGATGTTGATCTGTCAATCCACAATTTGGGAACAAAGGGAGGAGAGGAAGAGATTAAACTATCCAAGACTACTGGTTCGCAGGAAAGAAGTGAAGTGGTTATTAGTGATATCCAGATCATTGTTTCAAAAAAGGGTCCGTTGGTTTCTCAAAAGGAGAGCACTGACCTTGTTGTTGAAGTTGCTCGCGGAGCTCAACGTGTGGGTGGTGATGATTGTGGTGACAAAGTTTTGTCATTGGTGCCGTTGGTTAGTGATGAATTTGTTAGAGAAGATAACTGTGATGAAGAAAAAGCTGAGAAGATGGATGGCGAAAGAACAGAAATTGGGAATGAGTTGAGTAAGATTGATGAAAGCAGTGTATTGCCAGAAGGAGCTTCAGATGTGAATGAAAAACGTAAGAAGAGAAAGAGAAGTAAAAAGGGTGCGGATGCTCTTTATGTTAAAAATATTGATGTGTCAATGGACAAGCTGGGAGCAAAGGGAGGAGATGGAGATATTAAACTATCTGAGACTACTGCTTTGCAGGAAAGAATTGAAGTGGACATTGGTGATATGCAGATAATTGTTTCAGAATCTAATGCAATGACCTGTGATCCTCCTCCTCTATCTCAGCTACCTACAATGGATGAACAACTTGTGACTGCTACCCTGGAAGGCCCAAATGCTGATTGTGTGGATGCAGGTCAATTGTCAAGCCAAAGCTTGGCGAAGAAGAAACGAAAAATCAAGTCTTTTAAGAAAGTAGATACAGAAAATGTTGGAAGAACTCCTGGTGAAGAGGTACCTCTGAAGGAAGCTGGAATTAAAAGTGGTACTGTTGCTGAAGAGGCGCCTCCTTCAGATACACAAATGACGCAGCCTTCTGGTGTTTCTTTGACGGAGAAGGAACCTGATCATCTCCAAGAGCAACAGAAGAATCTTCCTTTACAAGGTATCTCCATTTTCGAATTGAACTTTGGTAAGTGATGCTTGCTTCTACATTTGCTCGAAAGATATCTGATATTCAAACTGGTTTGCTGCAGGTATCAATGAGTTTCAGGAACCAACAACTAATGACATGAATAGAGTTGAAACAGAACAAGAGGTGCCCAAGACGGTTTCTACAAAAGTGCACAAAGAAGTTGTTGATTCTGTATCACACGAGGTTGATCCGTATGTTGATGATGGGAAAACATCGAAGAAAAGAAAGAAATCCAGGAAACATAAGGTACTCAAGGGTGGAACAGTATCAATTGCTTCAGATGCTGATCATGTTAGAGATTGTTATGATGTACCCGAGAAAGTAGGTAAGGCTGAGAACTCTATTCTTGAAGCTGCTGAAAAGGGAGATGTGAAAGAAGTGGCAGCGGCTGATAGTCCGACGGCTTCTCTTTTGGTTACAGATAAGGAAAGCGATGAGTTTATTAAAAATGTGGTAGAATCTTCACAGGAGATCACAAAGACTGAAACTGTTTCAGAAAACAGAGAAGGGAAACTGAGAAAGAAAACAAAGAGAAGAAGAAGAAGCATGGTTCAGATGGTAAGAACACCGTACTACTGACACAAACAGAAGACAAGTGCCCTGATCAAAGTATTTTAGCTCCTTCCATGGCCAACATTTGTGGCACAGATTCTTCTACATTCCCTTATGATGCTAATCTGCGAAATCCGAGTCTCAAAGACTCATTAGATAGAGCAGAGATCATGTCTCCTCCAGAGGAAGTTGGCGGCAATGCGGAAAATGCCAGCGAGGTTGATGGAGTCGACATCAGCTCTAATTTCATTCCAAGAGAACAGAATACTAAGACTGCTGATCCTAGTGAGGTTACTGGAGCTTGGGCTGAAATGAAAAGTGAAAAGAGAGGGGAAGTCCAAGAGGCAAACCTGCATGACATCTCTCCCAAGTTAGGGTCTCCAACGTTGAAGGAGAAACTTGAAGCCCATGCAAAGCCTCAGGAAAAGAATGCAGTACCTGGTATAGTAGATGAGCAAAAACCTCATTGTGAAGAGGCTCAAGAATCAAATGCTATGACTCGTCCAATTGGTGGCAAGCCAAACAAGTGCATAGAGGAACATCATTCGGAGAGTTTGACAAACTCGAGTTCCCACACCAAAAGAGATAAGAGGGATCAATCTCAAAGCCAGCAAACCGATGTGAATGGTGGGGGAGGCTATAATGCCCATCCAGGCGAAGTTGTGAATGACATGCTTCATCAGAAGCAGGTTGTTGCGTCAAGATCACTATTCAAGCAGACTCCATTTGGCGATGATTCAGATGATAGCTTGGAGTCCTATCATTTTCCATCTCCACCCCACCATACACGTGCCAGCTCCCCGGATCCTGATCTCTCAGTATCTCCTGTCCACTCGGATAAAGAAACTGATGCAGGTTAGTTATTGGTGTGTTTGTTTCAGCATTTGCTAAAGTAATAAGCGACTTTACGTTATTTTCATTATGTTTTAGTAGAAGCACAGAAAAATATGCGACTTGAATAGAAGCTAAGCGGGTATTGTTCTTGAACCAGGGTTCGACAGCATGAACAGAAATGGCAGTAGTGGTCGAGAAGGCATGAAGACGCCGTTGTAAGTACAAGTACTCTTTTGATGGGATTATGTGAAGTGCCTAAATTTAGCCACCATAATTTAATGATATTATGCTATGCTCGCCTGAATGTGTTGCTACTCAGGGATTCCACTGGACACAATCCTGAAAAGTTCAAAGAGATACAGGAAGGCCAAGCTGGATACTGAATCACAGCCTGAAGATTTTGTCCCCTGTAGTCTGAGCACATAAAATGGTCAAATCGTGAAATCCGTCGTCGCCACAGAGACGCACATTCTTTTGTTGATCGCAGCAAGTCTGTTAGAAACCCACTTTTGGATTATTTTGGTTTTTGGTCTTGTTTTTCGCTTTATTGACTTCGGATGTTATTTTGTGGGTTTTGGCATATTCGGGTTTATTTGGTTGTTTAAACACATTCGGGTTTATTTGGCATATTCGGGTTTATTTTGTGGGTTTTGGCATACTCAAGACTGGCTGATCCTCTTTTTAAACACCCTTTTCTCCCCAATTCCCCATTCTCAATTCTTAACCAATCTCTAACCACCAATCATCTATTGATCATGTTCTCATAACCCTAGATAGGAGATGCCTAGTTTCGAGTTTTCTTACAGCAATATTAGAGCTTGGTTGGCGTCTGGGTTAGGTTAACAAAAGAAGTGTTATAAAACAATCAATGGAGCGGTTGCAGGATATCAAGATCGTGGAGGACATTACACGCAATGAGGATTTTTGGGAGCTATTGAAGACAATGACAAATCATTTTATCGGCCTCCATATTCGTATGGGAGAGGTGAACGAAACTATGTAGGAGAGAGCCAGAAGGAACAACGACGACTTGAAATCGCTAATGGAGATGATGAAGCTGGCATTGGCATTGCAGGGACTGCTTGTGATGCCGGAGAAGACGACAAAGGCCTTGTCGGAGGGTGATTCGGGGCGACTAGGCCAGTGGAAGGGTATGGGAGGCGCTTCTAATGTGCTATGTATCATCCCCTGGCAACATCAAAGGGTGACTGGCGCTGCTCGGGCATGCTGTGGCCGTTGGGGCAAGGATCGGGAGCCGAAAATGGAGTTTGAAGTGATGAGGACGATGGTTGGGGTTTCGATGGCGAGCCCATGATGAGGTAGGATCGAGGCGGCATAGAGGAAGATCGTCGTGGTGGTTACAACATTGGCAGGTATGGCGGGTATAACTCTGCGTATGAGAGTGAGGATGAACGAGATTTTAGAGCTAAGCCCCTGACGATTGAGTTCCCAAAATTCAATGTCACGAGGATGATAGGTTATGAATTTATGTTGCAGACAGGTGGTTCAAAAACCATTCTATAGAGAGGAGAGGAGCGTCTTTCTATTTAGAGGGAGATGCCTTCTAGTGTTGGGAGAAGATGGAGCGGTCCTATTCGGAGGCGGAGATGCTGATCATTTGGACTCGCTTTAAGGAGAAGCTGCAGTACCCATTAAGGAAGTTAGAGGGATGAGTGTCGGAACACCTTGCTAAGCTGAGATAGTCTGGTACTGTGGCTGGGTTCTGACCGGAGTTCTTGAGGCTGGGAAACATGTGCAACGGTATGTCGGATGACACTGGTTTATGATTGCAACGGCATGTCGGATGACACCGGAGTTAGCTACAGTGGTGAAGGTGTTCGAGCTAGGTTCCTTGCTGAGGGCTTTTAGATTGCCATTGCGCAAGGAGGAGGAACTAGCAAGCTGGAAGGGCAGTAGGGTGCTATTCCAAAAGGCAGCCGACGGAAATACTAGATCAGACGCGACAGGTGGAATGGCGGCGGCGCCCCTGAAAGGGGCATGAGTGCCCGTGGCAGCAGTAGCAGCTCCACGAGGAGAACGACAAGGGCTCAGGTTGCGACGTTGAGGGTTCATGAGGCTCACACCGCAGGATATGGAGTAGAAATATAGGGTTGGCCGCTGCTTCAACTGCAATGAGAAGTACACTGTCGCGCACCAGTGTGTCGAGGGTCATTTGATCTTGCTCGTAGGAAACTTGGGGGATGAGGCGGTGGAGCTCGCAACATAGTTAGGCAAGCAAAATCATGGAGCGCCGGTCCAACCTTGAGGGTAAGGTTAGTTTTGAGAGAGATGGATTGTTAGACACCAACTTTTTGGATGATTTTGGAATTTGGTCTTGTTTGTCGTTTTATTAATGGTTTGGGTGACTTCGGAAATTATTTGGTGGTTTGTGGCATATTTGGGTAATTGGGTTTACTTGGTTTTATTTTTATGAGGTAATAGTTGGGCAGTTAGTGAGAATTATTTGTGTCATACATTTTATAATTAGTTGATATTTTCTCATTAAGCAAATACAAAACAAAATTTCCCAAACCCTAACCTCTCTCTCTTCTCTCTTGTGCAGCCGAACCTTCTTCCCCTCTCCCTCAACTAGTCGTCGCCCACCCATGATGAATTGATCTTCTTCTTATTCGACCCCGTTTTCTCCCGAATTCCCCGTTCTCAATCCCTATTCACCAGTCGTTATCGATCTTGAGATCCCTAGATGAAAGACGCCTAGATCTAAGGTTTCTTATAAGTCATTTCCTTGTTTCTATGTTTATGATTATATGATGATGAGCCCAATTTTGAAGTTAGTTTGTGGGTATACAAAACTCGGTTGATGCTTCATGGAAGGCCAGGGTGAAATCCCGGGAGTTCTACGGTACCCAGGGTGAAATTCGGGGTACCGAATACCTTCAGTAAGAAAACGCTATCCAGAACTTGAATTGACTGATCTTTCGGACATGGTACTATACTCTAACCCTTAAAGATCAAAATCTAGGTCTTAATTCTCTAAATCTTATACCCCAAGATCAATTTAATTAGAAACAATAATCGACGGTTATGCTTCGTCCAAATATAGGCAAAAAAATCAATGCACCATCTTAGGGTTTATAGTTTATGATTTAGATAATTAGGACCTAGGGTTCATTCATTAAGGGTTAGGGTATAGTATCATGCCCAAAAATCCTGCTAATTTGAGGTCTAGATAGCGTTTTCATACTCAAGGTATGGGTACCAAGGATTCCATCCGGGTTACCGTAGAAGGCACCACCAATGTAGTCAAAAGCGAGTTTCTACGTAGAAACGTTTTGGTAATCTAGAAGCGTAAAATCGTAAGTTTTTAAGTTTTAAAGCGGAGTTTTTAACTACATAAGTGGTAAAAACTGAGATTTTGCGTACAAGCGTTTTAGTGACCTAGAAACGTAAAATCGTTAGTTTTTAAGTTTTAAAGCGCGATTTTGACTACATTGGGCACCACACATTATATATATATATGGGCTAGACTGGTGTGCTCCAGACGCATAGCATGCTCCAGCTTCTCTAAATCGTTGATCTAATCTAACGGCTATTAATAATAATAATTAATTGATTTATTAATTATAATTTAAAGATAATTACTTTAGTCCATATACATATTTATCAATATCCTTTTATAGTTTGAACCTAATTTTCTTCTAATCACTTCTTTATCACCCAATTTTTGCATTATTTCTAATTTCTTTCTTCTCACGACTCTTGTTTAGTTGTTTGGGTCTTCAAACCCAAATCCTATTTCAGTCGACGAAGCAGCTCCTCTCATGACCATCATCACATCTCCTCCTCCTCCCTTCAAAACGAAACCCCTCTTTCACGGAATTTTCCATGAATAGCACTGTTTAAAAACAATTTCAAAAATAGCACCCTTTTTCGAAAACCGCAAGGTGGGGGCGTCGAAAACCGCACGGGTAGGTCTTGGCATAACTGGTTGAGTTGTTTCTTTGTATGCAAGAGTTCCTTGGTTTGAAACATCATCATGCCATATTAAATTTTTTTTTTATTTAGTAGATATTAAAAAAAGCAACATGTTGTGGGGGTGGTGGTTCGAATCCTGATAATAAAATAGGTGACTAAATTTAACATAACATCTTCACCACCAAATTACAACTCTTTTGTTGAGACAATTACATATTGAAAAAGTTTTAGTCCTTGAACTCTAACAATCCTCAATAACTTTGAACAACCATAACTTTGTGCTCCAAAATCCGAACGTCATGAATTTATTTTTCAGTTTGCATAGCTTTTGAAGGACTACAATTTTCACTAGGAAGAAATTTTTAAAACAGGAATTATTACTGGATATACAGGGTTTTGGGAACAACGTTACCTTCCCTTTTCACAAATCCACGTACATTCCGAAATTATGTCTATGATAAAAGTTGTAGTACTTAAAAAGTTATGCTAAATGAAAAAAAATTCATGACGTTCGGATTTTGGATCACAAAGTTATGGCCGCCCAAAGTTCGACGAAATCGAAAAAGGCTCGTTCAGGGTAGCAAATGACGCTTTTTCGAGACGAAGGAGGGATCAAACTACGGCTTGCAAGATCTCGAAAATTTATGCGGATTCAAAACAAATCGCTGCGATCGGATACCCGAGTGCAAAGTTACGTTCGTTTGAAATTTTGGCCGAGGTTAGGAGTTGATCGGAAAATCTTTTTTGGAACAAACCGCCCCCTCCCTGAGCAATTTTCAAAATTGCCCGTAACCATGCGGTTTTCATCAAAAATCGTGCCCCCACCTTGCAGTTTTCGTGTAAACCGCGGAGTGGGGTGACGGCTTTCGAGAAAGGGTGCTATTTTTGGAATTTTTCGTAACTAGGTGCTATTTTTTATTTTTTTTAAACAGTGCTATTTTTGAAGAAAAAAATCCATCTTTTACTCTACTAAGTCCACGAACCAGCTCCTCCTCCTCCCGACCATCATCATATCTCCTCCCTAGTCGACCCGAATCGCCGGATCTTCCCTCTAATAAGTCCACGAACCAGCTCCTCCTCACCCCGACCATCATCATATCTCCTCCCTAGTCGACGCGAATCGTCGGATCTTCCCTCTCCAGTGAAACATATTGAACTCCATCGCTGCCCCAGCTCGTAAATCAAATTCCACACTCTTCACCGGAGCTCAAGTCCCGCCGACGCAGCGAATTCACCAGCAGCGCAGTAGCTAATCATAGATGAGATAATACCCTCTTCGTCTGAAGGATTTTTCCAACAGCGAATTCACCAGCAGCACAGCGCAGATGGAGCCAAACATCACGATGGTACAAAACTCTCTTCACACTTCTTTCTGTTCTCCCTTCTTCCTCTTCCTTCCTTCTGCTTCTAATCTTCCTCTTCCTTTCCTCTTCTGCTTCTCTTCTCCTACTCTATTCTCACTCCATTCAGTTGATTGTCTTAGCTAGCAAGGTTGATGGCGAGTCACACCAGTTAACGGCGAGATTCGATGGGTTTGACAGCCGATTTGATGAATTATTGCAGCGATTGGATGAATTGAAGCAACTATGGTCATCAGAGGGGGGTTGGCGGTGCGACAGGTCAGTCGATGAGTTGGAATGATGGCGTGGGCGCTTTTCAGCCGTCCCCTGTGCATAAGTAATCTAAGCAGGAGAATTGTTTCCTACCGGAGGCAAAGATTTTCTAGTGGTTGGCGACAAATCGATGAGTCAAGGGAGTCTCCCGTCGACCCGTGTTGAATTGGTGTGAGTTTGCTGAAGGGGGTGTGCCAGCGGTTTTTTTTATGAGGATGATGAAATTTTATTAAAGAAAATGGAAAAGGATACACAGAGGGAAGCAACACTTTACAAGAAGTGAAAGTGAGCGAAGTTCTGGACCGAGCAAGGTCAAAGAAAAGAAAACAAAAAAACAATACAGAAAGAAGGAAAAGCAACAACCACAATGTCGCACAGAGAGGACCACATAGAAGCCTCTACATCAGGACACGCAAGCAATGAGCGCAAAGCATCGCAACCAGCGAGAGCACCAAAACACAGCAGACCGACACTGACAGGAAAGCATCCCATCCAAGAAGATCCCAAGGTTAGACTAGGAAGTCCAAGACCTCAGCCAATTTTTACCCTACTCCTTATTGATTTTGCCACAAATCATACTCCAATCAATGACAGTCCTCGCAAACCTTTACCTGAGGGAGGTAACGTTGGGGCTGCATTGATCTTGTTGGAAGACCCTATGATTCCTTTCATTCCACACAATCCAGCATACAACATGTATCAAGCAGCTCAAAATGCAATCCAAGAAGTTGTTCTTATCACCTCTCGGCCAACTACTCATGACCTCTGAAATATCGCCTGTAGGATTAATGGTTCTACCCATCAGCTTGGACACCTCTTTCCGCACGGTATTGACAAAGGAACATTCCATGAAAATGTGGTTGATAGACTCCTCTTTATGGCAATACAGGGCACACCTGTTTGCGAGAGCAATCCCTCTCTTCAAATTGTCGATAGTCAGAATCCGCTTGTGCCACACGGGCGAAAGGAAATCACACACACTTTCGGAGGAACAACACTGTTCCACACAAGTTCAGTAGAGAAACCTTCAACCCCAGGAAACCGGTTCTCCACCTGCATTTTATACATAGAGCTCACAAAGAAAACTTCACTATGATTAGGTAACCACACAGCACGACCAGGACCATTCAGAATCCTATTAGTATTAGAGGAAAGTTTATCAAAGAATGCAAGACTCTCTCTCTCTCAGCCCCACCATGCAAGTTAAAAAAAGGAATTTCCCACACGACCTTCTCACCTTGCCAGATCAAAGCTTCG